CCCCCCCCCCCCTATATTATTTCACTGAAATAACTTGAAGCTGACAAAAGTCATTAACATCCATCAATGTTTAATTCATATTGAATAAAAATCAGACTTTGCTTTTTTTTTTAATGTAAACTAATATTTAAAATTATAAAACAAATGAAAATGGCATGGAGTAAATTTTAATGACCTTTTTAACCTAATGATTTAATTGTACAACTTTTAGAAGCAGTCACTCCAAAAAAAACTGTTGTTTGTAGCTCTCAATAAAACTCCATAAGACTCAATAAGACCGGTAGTTTGACCCACTTTCCTTCAACAAACTGCTTCAGCTGTCTCAGGTTTGAATGCCTTCTGCATACTGCATGTTTCAGCTCTTTCCATAGATGTTCCATAGAAAGGCACTTCAGAATAATCCAATGGTCTTGGGTGTTTTAAGATGAATGTTTTGGGCCATTATCCTGTTGGAGGGCCCATAACCTGCAACTGAGACAGAGCTTTCTGACACTGGGCAGTATGTTTTGCTCCAGAATTCCTTGATAGTCTTGAGATTTCATTGTGCCCTGCACAGATTCAAGCCAACCTGTGTCAGATACAGCAAAGCAGCCCCAAAACATAACCAAGTCTCCTCTCTTTCACAGTAGGCACAGTGCTCCTTACTTTAAAAGCTTTTATTTTATCGCCTGTGAACATAGAGCTGATGTGACTTGCTAAAAAGCTGCAGTTTTGCCTCATGTGTCCAAAGGGTGTTCTCCCAGAAGAATTGTGGCTTGTCATTATGCATTTTAGCAAATTCGAGTCTAGCTTTTTTAGGTTTTTCTCTCAACAGTGGAGTCATTTTGAGTTTTGAGCTTTTGAGTCCACTGTTTCTCAAAAAGTGACAGATGGTGCAATCAGATACTGATGCATGTCCAGGGAGATTGTCTACACCCCGATAGACCCTAAATGTCTTAGTAACATTTGCAGCTGTAGTTCCAGGAACATCTGTCAGCTTGGTGATGGTCTTAAAGCCTTTACCTTTGACATACTGGTTTATCATTTTCTTTCTGATCACCTCAGACAACTTTCTTTTGCTTTCTCTGGTCCATGTTCAGTATGATGCACATTGTGTGACCAGATAGCAGCAGTGGCTACCTTTTTCTCCATTTAAGTAAGCTGACTGACTCATTACAAGATTGAAGACATGTTTGATACTAATTGCAGAAAACAAATCATTTTAAATATACCTATTATCCATTTATTTATAATCTTTTCCAGGGATATCGACAAATCTGTCCAGCCCATTTTAGAATATCTTTGTAGATTTAGATTGTAAGCCCTCATGGGCAGGGCCCTTCTTACCATCTTATCCTGAATGGTGTTGTAATTGTAAAGTCTTCCTTATATTGTAAAGCGCTGTGCAAACTTTTGACGCTATATAAATCCTGTATAATATTAATAATAATCTGTTTTCACACTTTCTTTGCTTTACTTTGACATGCCAAAGGCATGCATATATACATAAGACATTGGTAATGTAATCATTTTGAATTTGACTCTGGAGCAAAAAGTGAAGGGGCACAATATTGGTTAACAGCATAGTTTGGTGAATTCTCTCATACTTTTATTATTGTAATTGCGATGCACTGGTAAATGTATATTTCTGATCTCTGTATTTTTCTCTACAGATCTTGATTTGTCTGATTTCTTTGGTCCTACTCATCCACCAAAGAATGTCCCCAAACCTCCTAAAAAGCCAGGTAATCCTAAACTTGTATACCTTGAAGCAGTGGCGGACCTAATAACCAAAGGGCCCTGGTGCAAGATTTTATCTTGGGCCCCCCTCCCAAGACAGGGGGGTGGGGCGGGCAGGAGTGGATCACACTGGCATGCTGGACTTACCTGAGACCCTGCAGAGCACACCATAGATCCTGCATAGCCCACCTGAGACTCTCTATGGTGGGCTCTGCAGGGTCCCAGGTGGTCTGGTCGTCGGGATCCCTTTCTCTGTACCTCCTAGCGCACTGCCAAAAAAAAACGGATCGGACCCCACTTAGGCTGTGGGGGAGCCCAGGACCGGACCCCACTGGGCCCCCCCACAGCCACAGGCCCCGGTGCCCCGGCTGCAGTTCCGCCACTTGCATGAAGCATACTGTTGAAATTAAGATTACAGAAAAGATTTTTTGGTTGAGGGTGGGGAATTTTTCCTTTTGGTTATAGAATAAGTGTGGAAAAGTGTTACTAAAAGTAATTTACACCATAGATGTGGTAAATTAATGAATGTCTACGACCGTTTTTCTCAACATTTTCACCTCTTTAAAGAACTGTCAGGTCTTGGGGAACCCCTGAAAAAAATAATGCTGAGGGCACATTTGCATGAACATGAAGTTGTACAAAGTTTTAAATAAAAAAGAATGTGGCATACCTATTTGTCACATTGGCAGATAATTTTACAACATCCTGTTATTTTTCATAGCAATCGTGAAACGAAAAATAAAAATAATGATTAGAAAAGAAATGCAGACACACAGAAATTGCGTCCTCTTACACTAATGGTCAGTGGATTGAGTCCCCTTACATTGGTGGTCAGAGTGGGTCACCCGTACATTGGTGATTATTGGAGAAACGCTTCCCTATGCAGGTGGGAAATTAAGAATTGACTCCTTATATTGGTGGCTATTGCACATAGGAGATCAATCCACCACTGCTTAAGGAACCCCTAAACATCTGGAGATGGCCTGATTTAAAAAGACTGGTCTACACAATAACTTGTAAATAATAATAATGTTCATTCCTGTTGCTTTTTACCCGCAAACTATTATTATCAGAATGGAGAAGGCGTGCAAAAGGCAGTTTCAGTTTCTATTTTGTGTGTTATGAATCTAGTACAATTTGCATTTAAAAATAATCATGCTAAATCATAGAAGAATGTGGAAATTTTGTCCTCCTGTCACTCTTCCTGCTATGGTGGCATCTGCACATCAAGGGACCTGGGAACAACAGAAGAACAATGTGCAAAGTATCCAAATATATACCAATTTCCACTTTCTGTATAATAAGTGGACTCATCTTCTTTTACAACTTTCATTTGCAGATATCCCTATGACAACAAGGAAGCCACATGTATCAACCCACAAACCACCAAAAAAGCCAGGTATTATTTTTTTCTATGTATTGTAGGTTAGTTTGCTGGACTTATAACATGACTGTTATGTAACAGTGTAGTACACTTTATACATTTTAACTTTAAATATAATGTTTTTGGGTGCGTATTCTTTATTTTGCTTTAAAAGTATTCACGTTATAATTATAAATGTTTTCCTCCTAGGACCAAGGACTCCTCATGAAAGAGTTGTCTGTTGGGTTGTCACTGCAGTAGTTGTCTTCTTGCAGGCTGGCCAACACTGCCATATGCGCAAACAAGCCTAAATCTCCACTTGCTGTTTGGATAGAAGAATACATGATATTTATTTGCAATATTTCAGTATTTCAGTCTGGATACCACTTGAGAATAAGGAAATGTAAAAAAATAAAAGATAAAATAACTTTTTTTTCAGCAAGTCTGGCTAACATAAAAAGGTTTTTTTTTAAAAGGAAGGTTTAATGTCGCTTTAAGTGGGAGCTTAGGAGGGCTTTACCAGCTGTGCTGAAAAGTAGTCTCTGAAAATTGAAAGTTTTATCTTCAATACTTTTTCTGGGAATGCTGTGTGACCACACTTTCTCTACCTTTTGATAAAAGGAAGTCGGCTGACTTTAACGACCCTGGGTAGCCACATGAGTCTGCCTAGATGGACTATGCAGAGTTCTTTTCATTGGCTGCTGAAAAACACCATTTGCAGATTTTGTGTGCAGACGAGGAGTTCAACCCTGTGTATTTCTATTTATTACCAGTGCTCAATAACTTCAGATAACTTTAAGAAGTGAGACAACTACCATTGCTGACCTCTGTTTTTGAATATACTAGTTACTGGGCATCGTGTTGTTCTAATGATGTTAGCCCCTTCTAGGTTACTAATAAGTATGCAAATTAGATGGTGAGACCTCAGTCTGACTTTCCTGATCGACATGCTTGTTCCATAGGAGCTTTTCAGTGTTGTGAGCCAGGCAGTCTATCCTGTGCTTGGTTTGCATTATGTTGATCTAAAAGGGCTGACGGGAAATTATTAATCTCTGACCAGTAGCAAGAGAGTGGCTTGTCTTTAACCGCTTTTCCACAATGTTATGTTTATAAACAGTGGAGTGGTGGACTGTTATTTTCCCACCAGCGTTTGTAAACGCCGCTGTAGAAATAGCCCTCAGGCAGCCCTTGTGCCATCTAATTACTGTGTACCGAGCCATTATTAGAGGGATCAGTACACAGAAACACTATACAGAGTGGATCCAATTGGCATTGTACCATGTGACTGTTGTGATAACCAATCACAACGATCACATACGACTGTTTCCCTTGTTATTATAGGAAGGAGAGGAAATCGTAGTAATCCATGAATCGGAGATGAATGAATGGATTAGCAGCAGCGGCTGATCCATTCATTCATCTTGGCTGACTGTGGAATAATTTTGTTAACCTCCCTCCCCCTCCTACAAATCTAAGACCCATCCTCTCTCTGATTTGACCTGTATATAAACCCTCTATCTCCTTTACCCTACACATTAACTCCCTCATCTCTATCCTCCAGACCTGCACATTAACTCCTTCACCTCCTGATCCCCCTATATATATGACCTGATGTGCTGTACCTAGCGCCCCGTTACTAAGCTCCATGTTTTAACCCCTTCAATACCAACATGTTCCTTCATTTCCAGGAAGTTGTGGCAAAATTGTCTACTTTTCAAAAAGGGAGTGTTCTTACTGTTCTTGTATTTTAATTTTAACAGTAAGTAAGGGAAACAGGGCTTTTTCTCCAAAATAATTGATTTTGGTTTTTTTTCCATTCTATAGTAAAAAAAAAAGTGTTTATTAAAGTGTAATTCCACTTTACCAGGCGAGTTTTAGAAAATGGAATTGCCCTCACCAACCTGCCTCCTCTCTATCCCTTGCTCACTGGTCTTACCTTTAAATGGTAATTCCCCTCTACTGCTGCTGGTCTTTGATCTGTACACAGCACCATAACCTTGTGCTCAGCATTTCAAATCATGCTTGCAAACAGCAAGCACTCATTGGTCAGCACGGTCACCTGACCGTGCTGAACAATGAAATGTGCTTCTTCTTGAAATACTTAGCGCAGGGCTATGGTGCTGTGTACAGAATGTACACTGGCAGCCGCGAAGGGGAATGACCATTCGCTCAAGGTAAGGCCAGCCGGCGGTAGGGCAGATAATGGGGGTAATACCAATTTTCTCAAATGCGTCTGGGAGAGTGCAATTACCCTTTAAATACCACCAATAGAAAGCTGTATCTGTCCCAAAAAAGATATAAAATTCAAGTGGGTACAGTGTTCCGTGAGCAAGTAATTGTAAATCAAACTATTGCAGCATGGAAGCTGAAAATAGCCTGATAATAGCAATTGTGTTACAGGCTGGTACTCCAGTGGTTAAAGAATAAGTGCCCTTTAACATACTTTTGCTCATTTTAATGTAAATGGTAAATCTGGTAAGTTTCTAATACTCTTCCACCTTTTTTATTTGTCGTGCTGTTCTTTGAGCGTTGTACTTAGCATATAATTAGCATCTCTGCCAGGTAACATTTCCTTCTGTTGTCTGATGACATTGTCTGCCATGCAGGGCTTTTGGCATACAGTTATGTGAAACAAAGCAAAAGGAGTGTATGAATAGGGAAGACATTAGTATATCTAAAGGGATGCTGAGGATGGGCTGGGGACTGTTTTCTTTTAAGGTACACTGCAGTGAAAACTGGAAAGCAAAACTGAAAATGCATAGAGGGAGCATTGCTTACCAGATGAATCTTTCAGTTTTTCATGTAGACATTGCTGCACTGCACCAGCCCTCCCCATTGCCTCTGTGTTATCTGGTGACCTGGAACACACCTGCTGGTGATGCTGCAACACCCTCCTTACTGCCTCTCACACATAGAATGCCTGATGTAAAAAAAATGTGAACATTAAGATTTTACTCTCAGCCACCAGATTCAGTCTTGCTGTGGAAGTTTGAATGTGATTGATCATGCAGGAAGCAGAGATAGTTACATAAACATTCTTATGGTCTAATCCTGTATAGCGGTGTGTATGTTTGCTTGATCTGCAGTCACTGAACCCAGGTGAAGGTACATTAGAATAGAACTATGGGGTAGGCCTTTTTATCCCATAGTTCTCTTTAGGGTCATGGGAGGACATATACTAACCTTCTCGCACAGCCGAGACGGATCCCGACAATACTGTCGCGATCCACCCATCTGGCTGTTTGACAGCGGGCTCTGCCGATCTAGAGGCAGAGCCAGCTGTGCCCATCCCGTCCCCTGTCCATTCATCCAGTCAGCGCTGAAGGATCAGGGAAGGGGGGGAAACCTGGGGGTGGCGGTGACTGACAGTCACCGCTCTCTGCAGGGAGATGAGCGAGCGACAGTATGTGTTCACTCCCTGATCTATAGAGCCGACGTGTGACAGTTTCAATGTCGCACGTCAGCTCTAACTATAAGTGTAAATCACTTACCTCATAGTTCTCCTTTAAGTGAACTTTCTGACATTAAGACCGTTGCTGTGTTTTACAATCTAAAACATATCTACTACTTCATGAAAGTACAAATGAATTGAAGACCGCCAGGCACTATAAACTCACAAATTGCATAAAATTATACAAAATATGTTACTCTTGCTCATTCACTTTTGCTATTTTGATAGAACGTTTCCAAGTATGGCCAGGCTTGCATGGTTATGTTTTAGATTGCAGATGCCTTGATATTTTGCTCTAAAACTTCCTGAATCAACCTGGAATATATTGATCCCTTAATGGCTGAGAATTATTTAAACCTTGAGGCAGCAATGAAATGCAATCAGATCGCAATTAGGAGGTCTTTAGAAAGACCCGATATGGGCAGATATGCACCCAGGAAGAAGACTGTTGTCCAGAGTTTTTCTCTGTTCGAGGATGATGTGCTCTTGCACGGATCTTTTTAGGAAGTCCACTCCTAAGTACTAAAACACTGCTGAATTTCTGTCATTTGTAATCCACTTGATTGTGTATTGCTAAAGGCCAGGTCTTTAGACATCCTTTTGTAGCCTTTTCTAATCTTATGAACTTTCTTAGTTTTTCTTCCGTGGACCTCTGAAATCTCTCACATTCAACTAAACAAAATTAGGTGAAGTAGAGCAGGTAACCAACAGTGTTTTGTTTGTTTTCTTATTAGGCAAGGTAGGTCAATCCAGTCGTTAAATGATAGGAACGGCTAACCTATTGTTTGTAATTCCTGAATCCAGTTGCCCTTTGTTATTGTCTTAGGGGTATATTTTTCATCTATCAATTTGATTACTTAAACTGTTTATTCAAAGAAAATTATTGCAAAGAAAAATGTTTCTTAAATTAGACTGACTATATTATTATGGTTTCGATGAAGATTACTTCACATTTATAGTGTATGTCCACCCAGAATTTATTTTTGTTAGTTTTAGATACAGTGGGAAAGGATTAGAATCCATGCCAGATTTTTACTACTGGCAAAAATAGGAAAGAGTAGAACCCCTGTCAGTTTTTTATTTCTGTCTGTTTCCCTGTAGAGGATTTTCCCCTTCCTGTCTGATAAACCATTGTTGTTGGACAGAAAGTCCAAGATAGAAATATCTGACAAAGCTCTTGATAATAGTACTAAAAAAGACCGGGGATCTCATACTTCCCACTTCCCCACAATCTAAAACTATGGCATGACATACAATTAATGGGGAATGTTTAGTGGTTTTGTTTTCTATGCTCCGGACACAAAAATTACAGTTTAAAAATAAAATATTTTGTCCAATAATTTTGGAATATATTTGGAATGTATTACGGGTATTTTGTTTCTTCATCCCTAGGCAGTACATGGAACTCCATACTCCTTTTCACATTTTTCAAGCTATCCAGCTATGCACCTGCTTCTCTCTGCCTACTCCTTAAAACTCCACTTTGGAACAGAGTTAACTACTTCTGCTTTGCTGTCTATAATGCTCTGCTTATTCCAGTGTCAGAAGTGCCCGCTGTATTAAATATATATTTGCACATGACTGTAACTGTTTGCACATGAATATAACAATAGTAACTGGTAAAAAAAATAATCCACAAATAAAAAATTTAAAACCTCAGTTTATTAAAAAGGTAATAAACTTAAAGTGCATCTGTGCCCAGACTATGAACATTAAAATATTTACTCCTTCTTAACACGTATTAAAATAACTTTTAAACCAACCCATGACCCCACTAACTGCTTTTAATGTGAAGTTATTCATTCTCATAGGTCCTCTATGATCACAACAAAAAATACCATTCAAACTTCAGCATGTGCATTTCCTGTTGATTGCTTTGCATTTTTTCACACGATGTTCACGGGTTTTCAGGCTTAAGTGTTTGTTTTAGCTAATGGAAAGCTAGTTGATTGTCAGGCAAAAAGCACGTAAGAAAATGAATATTTTTCAGGTGCTTTTATTGAAGTCTATGGGGTCAGGTCACACATTTCTGCCTGTTTAAAAAGCTCATGCACTTTTTCCAATGAAAAGCGACCTATTTCCAGGCAGTTATTCAGGCCTCATTCACACATGCGTCGAAAATAATGGAGGTGGTTGCCAAGCACGAAAGCCTTTCGAATGTGACATGCTATATAATTTTTGCCACACCACAACACGATGCAACACAACCATCTATGTGCGTGCTGAACTGTCCGCTGACCATTAAATAATCTCTCTGGTGCGTTAGTAGGCAGTGGGGAGCTTTAAAAAAGGACTACCACCTTGTTTTGCTGCACATGTCGATGAGGCCTAATGGCTTAGAAACATCTGTTGGTTCATAATATCAGAGGGCTGGCAGGCTGCCAAGATTTCGTTCACATAAAAAAACGGTGTCCGTCTTGTGAACTTTGAAAATGAATTTCTTCACAATGCTTAAAAATACAGAAATGAATGAGGGATATTTGTAAAGTGCTTTTACTGCTTCTTCAGAAAATGTAAATAAGTTAGTGTGCATGATCTGGCCACAGGTTCACTTTAAAATAAAAATTAAGTTGACCCAAATTCCCATCGTTGACTTGAGGCCTTTGTGCTACCATTTGCATTTTAATGGAGGATGTTTCCCTTGGGCCTGGTGACAGCTGCAGTCCATTTTCTTTTGCCACTACAGCATTGAATTCCATTCACATCTTTATAACATTATCATCACTTGCTCACCTCTTCTCTTCTCCTTTTTTTTTTTTTTAAAGATCCCAATGAGTTTGACTTGTCAGATGCCTTAGATGACAAAAATGATCGACCTGTAGGAGGAGGAGGAGGAGGAGGAGGAGGAGGAGGTATGTACTGAAATGACGACTCTGCAGCAAGCAATGATTGTGCATTATTAATAACGCTGTTACTCACCTGTAATAGAATATATGCATAGTAGTCATACAGTGTAACGTTACTTACATCAACTTCAGCCCCATTTGAGTTTACAGAAATGGTTACACACACAAAAAAAAATGATTATATATATTGTAAGAAAAAAAATGATAAAAAAATTCCTTTGGTAATTTACTACCGTGTTTCCCCAAAAATAAGACACTATCTTGTATTCCCCCCCCCCAAAAAAAAAACACACTAGGTCTTATTTTCGGGGATGTCTTTTTTTTTTCCCCATTGAGCATCCCCTCCACATACTTTTATTTCTACCATAATTTAAATAATAGAGATAAAATATGCTGTGGAGGCTGAGGCACACAGGTGTCACACAGAGCAGAGATATGGAATGTACTGTATTACACAGTACGTGAAGGCTGCAGCTGTCTTGGAGCTCTCCTCTCTGATGCCGTCCAGGGAGCCACCTCGTCGCACAGACCAGTCAGAAGTTCCCTGACCTCACTCTGACCTCACTGGCCATGCCGCTGCCTGCTGGGAAATGTAGTTTTCAGCGGCAGCTTTCTATGTACCGTAAAAGCTGAACTAGGTCTTATTTTCGGGGTAGGTCTTACAAAAATCTCTGAATATAGCGCTAGGTCTTGCTTTCGGGGTAGGTCTTATTTTCGGGGAAACACGGTAGTTGCAAACTGTATGGATCTGGACTAAATCACAACCTGTTGAGACCCAATATCTAATGATCGAGGTAAAAGAAAAGTGTGCTTTTAATGATGACATGCCCATTATTTCGTAAACATCGTGCTATACAGGTGGGGGTTAAGGAAGGTAGACAATGCTTGTGTGCAGTGGCGTAACAATTGCCCCAGGGGGGCCCGGCCAGGACATCCCTGATGCCGTGTGGGTCGCGATGGCATCTCAAGCTGCTGGCTGTAACTGGCGGCTGTGAAGAGGAACGCACCGCTGTTCAGATCACAGAGTGATCTGTGCAGCGGTGCGTTCATCTCCACAGCAGCTGCTGAGTCAGTGAGAGCCAGCAGCGGCGGTGGAGAAGGCTGGACCCGGCCGTGGAGGAAGAGGCAGGGCCCGGGGTCGGCAGCAGAGGAGGAGGCGGGCCCCGGTGACCGTGGAGGAAGAGGAGGTGGAAAGGTAAGGAGTGTGACCAGCCCACCATAGAGTGTCTATGGTGGGCTCTGCAGGGTAACCCTCAGGTGGGCTCTGCAAGGGGTGTAACTAGAAATCACAGGGCCCTATACAAAATATTGCTATGGGGCCCTGTGATTTCTAGTTACGCCCCTGATTATGTGTGTTTTTTAGTATGCCATTTGTAGCTTGTTTTGAAAAGTAGATGGCAACAGCATAAGCATGGTCACTTGGCAGATGTAGGCGGTTAGGTTTTGGGAGAGTTGGGTGACCCTTGCATCATTGTTAAACTAACACAGGTTTCTGCATCTGGTAACAAGCTTCTGTGTGTAGTGACTGTTACCACTTGCATTCATAGTCATCCTTTGCTCTGATTTCCCATGTGTATTGTTTAGAACTTTCCTGAGCTTTATGCCACCTGAGATTACTCCGGTTTAGACACACCAGAGCTGTTGGACCTTTTATTACAGAAGTTCAAAAGTGCAGTAATATTTGATTTTGGGAATACCATAATCGAATATCATTGTACTTCTTACCTTCTGTAATAAAGGGTCCAACAGATCTGGTCAGTTTTGCTCATCAGGTGGTGAATTGTTTTTTTCACCGGGGTGTATACACAACAGAGGAATGGAAGTCTGCATGAAGACATGTTATTTTGGACTATATTTTGATTTGTACATTATTTTTGATATTGAGATTTTGTGAACATTTTGTTCAGTTTATGTGTTATATGTGTTATATGTGTTATATAAAAGAAGTTGGAGCACTGTTTTAATTGTGTTTTTTTGGGCTTCCGATGACTGCAACGAGGGGCGGGCTTCCGATGACTGCAAACGGGCAGTGTGCGCGTGCGCACACCGGCCCGTTCGGCAGTTGTCGAACAAGCAGGCCACTAACTCGCCTAGAATCGTACGGTTTTCCAGCCTGCTTGTTCGACGGAAGACGTGTGACTGTACAGTAGAAACGGTCGCACGCCTTCCATAAACTTTGCGATTATCGTAGATCGCGTGATTTCCAGAGATTCTCGTATGATCGTACAGTGTATGGGCACCTTTAGGGTCTTCTAAAATGTTGTTCATGTGCCAAACACGGTCACAGGTAATTATTGCAGCTTGGCACATGTGTAGGCTGGTTAGTGAGAAGAGTCAAGTCTGCATTGGAAAACTACAATCATTTTGTAGCTCAATTGTTAATGGCTCAATTGTTAACCAAGCTATCACTAACCTCCTGTTTCCCCTCTTCCACGCCCCAAGCTAATCTGCACTATACTCCCCACCCCAGCTGTCTCTCAAATCTCTATTCAATGCTGGGCGTACCTGCACATTGAGTTCCCATAGGCCTAATTGGAGCCATATGCCGAGGATGTCCAGTCTCCATATACCACATATTTAAGCCTAAGCGGACTCGGCGAGTAGACGCAGCCAGTACAGAGGAGCATTTAGATGGACCGGATGTAAAGAGGTGGTGGTATTGCTGTGCAAGCAGCAAAAGTGGGGTTTGGGGGTTCAATGCAGATTAGCTTGTGGAAGGGTGGATTAGTGATAGTTTTGAGGGAAAGGTGGGGAAGGTGGGAAAGGAGCACACCTTTCAACAAATAACAGAAGGGTCAGAAACAGTGGATTTTGTTTAATCTCAAAATGCCTTTTAAATAAGGGATACATAATTGGTGTTTTTGATATGTATACTGTAAATGACATGTTCATGGCTGTAGGTTCAACGATTAGAGATAAAGATAAGCCATCGGGTGGTAAAGGAAATGGTAAGACGATTTATCCAACCTGTGTTTCAACGTTACCTGCCACTATCTTCTAACTAATGCTACCACATTTCTCCTGTCCGTTCTGTTTAGTAATATGTTAACCAGCCTAAGGGCTCATACTCATGGGTATTTCATAGTAATCATGTGTGCTTCACAGGGCAACCACATACACTGAGGTGCTGTTAAAATGTATGATCCTCCATAATCTGTCTAGTTTTGACTTCTAGTTCTATAATTTTTGGTAGGTAAGGTCCAGGGAAAAGCAAAACACCTCCCTGGAAACTGGTGAATCTTATCTAAAAGCAGGAGAAAAAATATTCTCTAAGAACACAAAGGTGGACTGACCAGTTCTATGGATCAGAATATTACCACATTACCATAATAAATGTAAGAAAACATCTAGTCCTTTTTATATACCATTGCTCATTTACCATTTTTAGCTTGTCAAGTATGGCAGTCCGCAGCTTAAGCACGGTTACTATAAAGGACCACCCCATCACAAATAAAAATGACCTTTATTTATTACTGGTATTTATATAGCGCCGACAATTTACGCAGCACTTTACATAGTGGCACATTCACATCAGTCCCTACCCTCAAGGAGCGTACAATCTAAGGTCCCTATCTCGCATGCATACATAGAGGGCCAACTTAGAGAGGAGCCAATTAACCTACCAGCAGGTCTTTGGAATGTGGGAGGAAACCCACGCAAGCATAGGGAGAACATGCAAACTCCTTGGAGATAGTGACCTGGCCGGGATTTGAATCAGGGACCCAGTGCTGCAAGGCAGAAGTGCTAACCACTGCACCACTGTGCTGCATGCTACATGCACTGCTAAAAATCTGCCATTAGTACTGTATATGTATGCATTAGAAATAAGCTGCCCATAAGTGTGTGTGTGTGTGTGTGTGTGTGTGTGTGTGATTTTTTTTTTTTATACTCCTCCTTACTCCTCATCATTCCAGCAGTTTAACAGTGTTTATGAGGCCTCCTTGTACACCAAGGTTTGATGATATGCATGGACCTGGGTCTTTTTGGCCCTTTGCCATGAATTTTTTCCAGCGATCTCTTTCTTAGTTCCTTTTGTGGTCCGTATTAACTGTTTTAACTCTGTAGTCACATGTGCTTTGGTCAGTATTTCTAACTTCCTTGGCTTATGGTATTTGCCGCCTTTGCTGCTCTGTAACCTGGTTGTGTTTTAGAAAGTCACAACTTAATGATTTATCTTTGTTCTTTGTGCTTATCTCTTTTGTAGACCTTTTGGTACTTTTCTATGATTTAAAAGAGAATGCCAAGTTCGCCCATGAACTGTGGTTTAAGTTTAGGTTAGGCTTGGGTTTGCCTTGTCATGGCATTATAGTTCATGGCCCTTCAAAAAGTGCCTTGAGCTCTACAAACATAAACTCTCAACATGATCAAGGACCATAGTCTATGCTGTTCATGTGTCTCTTGGGGAATGAAACCTTCACTAGAAACATGGAGAGGAGATCCTACTCAGTTGTATGTGGATTGTACTATCAATTATTCCTTATCCATTTCCCGATTTTTAGTTTTTGCTTGCTTGAATACCTGTGAGTAGACCCTTGGGGAACAAGCTTCCTCCAACCTTCAGCACTAGCTATCTGGAACTGCATGGTTAAAATTATGATTTTGCAAGTCTCTCTTGCATGAAATTATCAATAACAAGTCGTTTTATACTATGTATTCCTGACTCAGATCGTAACACCTTCTAACTACTAATAATTATGTAAAGTGCATTTTAATTCCTTTTGATGTGTAGTCCTAATTCTTTATATTACACTTGAAATGATTAACGTGTCATTTATTGTGTCTGTCTGGAGCTATATAAAGCTTGATTCTAAATTTGTTTTATGTGTTGGGTGTAATGTATGATTCTTGACCAGGTTGCTGAAAGTACCTAGGCCCCCATCAAGTCTATCGGCCTTCATGCCTCATCTCATCTTTACGTTGCCAGTATCATTTGACCCTACTGCCGAGTGTTACATTTTAAAGTTTAGCTTCGACAAAACATTTTTTTATGTGTTGGATGGAGTTGGGAAACATTTATTTTAGGTTCATGAGATCATTGTGAGGTTCCTATCCCTATGTGGTATGGTCATCACTGAGACAGAAAAATATGAACAACAATAAAAAAAAAACCTTGTCAGAAGTTCTAACCCTTCCCCACTGTACCTGTGCTTGTTTCTCTTTTGGAGAGAACATCCATCACTTCTGTCCTGACAACAAGTAAGGGAAAATCTCCAATAAGCAGAAAGATAGCAGAAAACCTGACGCAAGCTCTAACCCTTCCCTACTCTATACAAAATTAAAAACAAACTTTTGGCCGGATTAGGCTATAAGCATCCAACATTGTGTATTTACTAATATCACTAATATCAACACTTTTCAAATGTGTTCATGCAGGATTTGAAGTGTTTGAGGTTTTTCTTGAATAGTAAAGGAGGTGTCACTGCCGCTTCAGGTTCCACCTTGCCACAAGGCTTATGTTCTTTTTGTAGGGGCCAGTCCACCAAAAACAAATACCGTTGTTTGATAAATGCTACAGTGTTAAAGGTTTAGACCCTTTGTTAGGTTTTTAGGGCTGCAACAACTAATCGACATAATCGATTATAATCGATTATTGAAAAAGTTGTCAACTTTTTCAATAATCGATTAATCGGCTTCCGATCAGTTGGCCCTGTACACAGCTCCACACACGCTGCACCTCCTCCCCACCTCACACTCGTGGCTGCCAGACCCGCCCGCATCCACGCTCTTCACGCCGCACCTCCTCCCCGCCTCACACTCACCGCCCGCCCACATCCACGATTGGCACATTTTATTGTCTCTGTCCCCATATTGGAGAGATTCACCCCTATATTAGTACTGATGACCATGGTCACCCAGAAAGAAAGTGAGGGGAAATCCCAAATTTTAGGAGTTGTTTCCAGAACAAGAGGTAAGGGAAAGTCTTCCAATGGCCTCACCTGTTCTGGGGACAACTCTCCTAGTGGGGAATTTTCCTAATTTTGGGAGATTTTCTCTAAATACCTGCTGGGTCTCTGAGAGGGGAAGTGAAGGGATATGTCTCCAGTGGTACTGCCAAGAGCAAAAGAAGTGAAGTAATGAAAACACTTTATAGCTCCTTAGACAGGTCTGGTACTTGCTTATCACAGGAGGGATGCTGCTATTCTCAGCACTAAAGACATTACCTTACACCCCATATTAATTTACCACATATGCGTCATAGTTATCTGCAATTTTTAAGGGTATGTTGGCCATTAAAATCAATTCACAAAGAAACTAGCATTCTTATTTTCTACTTACAACAAGGCTAGCTTCAACCTGGTGATTAAATGTATTTTTCAATGAAATGTCTATAGAGGATGATAGGATGAGAAGTCATTTGAGGTGGCCATAAAATAAGATATTCGTGGGATAAAATAAAATTTCTTCAGATACTCAGGCTTTCAACAGTTAAATGTCAATTTCATGCCTAAATATGCAATGTTTTGTGAATTGAACATTTTTAGTACAAAAATGATCACAAGTTAAAATAACAACCACAAGTGCAATTCTTTTTTTTGGCTTTGTAAATTGAAGCCATTGTGTATGGTGATTGTTTTTTGATGGTATTCTACATTTGAAATTTTACTTTACAGTTGATTCTCTAGGGGGGGTACTTTGGACTGCGTTAGGGACTTTTACTATGTTTAGATGTTTTTATGGATTAATGTATTTTAGATCATTGAATCAATAAACTGATTTGTGTAATGTTACTAAAGAGCAAAAAAGATGGACATGGTCTGCCAGGTTAGTCTTTTGCAAACCTTTTTTTTAATGCTTTTTTCACGGTGATTTTAATTTCAGGATTTTCTGATTCTGACTTGGATGATATTTATAATGATGGCTACAAACCAGACAAAGGAAAAGGTATAGTGTAAACAATCCTCCAATGGTGTAATTGAATGCCAGATTAGTGTAACTTAGATAACCATTAGTGGTTCATTGGTACATTACCACCATAGGGTCACACCATTCACAGCAGTAGTAAAAAACAGTAGGAACAATCAGATCTTAATGCTAATTAGCTGTAATGTTATTTTTTTCAGGTGGAGGAGGTAGGGGGTCGTCAGCACATGGTGGAGACAATAGTAACAGTGAGACAGGTGGGTAGTTGAATCATTTGTTATTAGTTGGAAATATCTTTTTATGTTCGGAGTAAACTAAATAGTCCTTTAAAATTTAGTGTTACAGCAACTTTTTTTATGAAGTTCTATCCATTCATACGATAAAGACAGCAGCTTAATTCAATATCTGGTCTCTGTAGCGTTTTCTTTTTTTCCTTCAGTTCTTAGAATGTCTAAGCAAACATATGAGCTTAACACTTCCTGTGCAGGGAATCTTATTTTCTCCATATAATTGGATTTACTTCAATGAAAGCTTCTGCTGTAAATGTGCCCCAAGCAGTCAAATGAAGATAGACAGTGGAGTGCTGACTTTAAGTGACTTATAATTATATCATCTATATTTTTACAAAAGGTCTGATTTCAGCCTGTTCCAAAATGGTTTTTCCAACAGTTCATGTTTTCTAGAGCGTTTCTTATGTAAGGTGAATATTGCTCTGCTTTTAAGCTGTGCCCATAGACACTTTCCTGTATGTGCCTTGCAGTCTGAAAATCTTGTTAGTGTTCTTTCAAGTAAACCAAGTTTACTTGGATGCTCCCTCCCCAGCTAGACATATTTACCTTCCCTTTTGCTCACTTGCTGCTTCTTTCAGCTGCCAGATGCAAAGAAAGTCGGTCCTCTGTCTCCACTGTGTGACAGCTCTGGGCCAATCACTAAGTACCAGCACTGTCACATGGAGTGAGTCACATGCTCCTTCATACCTAAGAGTACTGGGTATTTTCTTACCCCCTACCCAGCAGCTGAATGAAGCAGTGGGACAGAGAAGGAAAACATGTTGCTAGAGAGGGGGCATTGAAGAAAACCATGGGCAAAGCACAGCTGTAGAGTGGTGCACCCCAACTCTAATAATTATCGCGATATGTTTTCAGTTAACTATTCTGAATTTGGTTTAGTGATCCAGTGTATTTTCTTATATTAGTAGTTTTATCCACTCTTCCATGGTAGGTACTTTAGCGGAGACTGGAACCATTGCAGGAATTGCAAGTGCTTTGGCCATGGCACTAATTGGAGCTGTGTCCAGCTATATCTCCTATCAACAGAAGAAATTTTGTTTCAGCATTCAACGTAAGTTGTTTTCTGCAAATCTCACTTACTCACCAGCATGTAACTGTCTGGCATGTTAATTTGTCAGACTTTGCATTTATTTAATATTCATATGGGGAATCCAGCTGAGGCTG